TCGATTTGCACACGACACAACTTTCGGAAACGTTCAAACTTCCGACACGCTCCAGCGCAACCAAAAAAAGGGAAAGCCAAGAGTTCCCGGCGAGGCTACGAGCCGCCCACAGTTTTTTGTATAAATAGCATTACTTCCTCTTCAATCAAAGAAACAGATTTTTCACTCGCAAATAAAAGCCTTTCTAAAATCTCACAACGCTTCCGCTCCTATTCCGCATCATCAGTAAATGCTCAGATGGTCGAGTCGGTTTAAGACGTTGCGCTTAAGACGCAATGGGGAAACCCGTCGTGAGTTCGAGTCTCACTCTGAGCAAATCTTTTTTCTGTCAGATGTTCGATAAATTTTTTGGTGAAGTTTGGAAGCAAAGAAGTTTTGGCGAACTTTGGAAGCGAAAAAGGGGAAGTATAATCAGAAATGGAAGCGATGGGAAAGGAAAAAAAGGAAGGGCCGCTCGTCGCGAGCAAGATGGGTTTGTTCCAAAAAGGCGTCCCAAACGAGGACGGCAGGTTTGTGTGGTGAGTCAGAGAAGGAGGATAGACAGGGTTTCCAGAGCTGAGATGGAAGACGGAGTGGAGATTGGGTGTATATCGCAGGCGATGTACCGAATCTCTTGGCTTTAGGCTTTGGCTTTGGCGATGTTGATTACTATGGCTGCTCTTCCGGTGCAAGAACCAATCCCAAGTTGAGCCTACTGACGGCGAGACACAAAAATGTGTTTCAAAAGATGGGTCCCTCGTATAGCTTTCCAGCAAGTTGGGCGTTTTCCTTTCAACGCTGGAAGTATTTATCTCTCAGTGAATCGAGATGATATATTTTCGAAGTCCCTCACAGGTATTTTGTCCAACGCGGGTGCATCTCATTATACCAGGAAGACTCTAACACATGATTGTTATTATTTGCAGCTAAAAAAAAGTAGGAAAATATTAAGATTTCGATGGAGTTAGAATCAATCACCACCGAAAATCTCAACAACCAAAGAGCAAATATGAAGCCGCGACTTCTCAAAGGTGCAAAAGCGTTCTTCAGATATGTACCGGATGTGGAGAAGTTTGGATTATCAGACTCGGAGATCAACTCGTTGGCCGTTGTAATTGAAGGTGTGTAATTGTGATCCTCTGACGGCGAAACGCGAACACGATCAAAGAAAATTAGAGTTGGACCGCGGCCATGCTCATTGACAAAGTTTGGTAGACGGTTGAGTCACCTCCAAAAAAGCGTGCCCCACGAGAACGAATCCTTGGATACTTTGAGCCACTGCCCCCCACCTGCCCTTTTTTCCAAACAGAAAAACCGTGGGCGACAGTGACCGAATTCCTGCCGTGATGGAGCGATCGCGCCCCAGCAGTGTCGCCTGCACCGCATCCCTCCATCGGCCACCCCAAACCAATCGAACTCTGTGGTGACAGGCAATAAGAATCGTGGTGGCAGGACTCCGCAACCCACAATCTTGATGCATGTCCGTGCATGCGCACTTCGAGAAGACCTTCACCATCTGTCAAAGGACACGCACAGCTCTTCATCGATCTCAAACTCCTTGCTCATTGATCAAGTCACTGTTTCCACATCGAGCGAGTCATCGACATCATCTTCATATATTTGCTTTGAAAGAGCTACTAGGATCACTTTCAAAAAGGTATGCATAGCTCTGTCTATATTCTCTGGATCGTTTTGTAGGAAGGGTGTGACGAATAATGATGAAGGGGGTGGCAGCAATCTGCAAAGTGAGTGGAGCCGGGGGTAACTTACTTACCTGATGAGTGGCACTGCCAAATGGTGCACCAATCGCTCCTCGCTTGCTCCCAATCATCACAGTGAGCAGCCAATGAAATTGTGAGCACATTCGTACCCTCGTACCCATCATTGCTACGTTATCTATCGTTATCCATACGAACCTTCCTACAATCAGGAGTGGGCAGCCACTAGGAGGATTGACAGAACTCAGGCCAGAAGACCCCGCTGGCGATCCTTTGAATGGCACTGCATGCAGGTGCATGCAGAGGATTAGGGAGAAGGACGGATTGACTGTTTTGTGTTGTGTCTGCTTCCGCCCATCATTGTCGCCTTTCTTCATGGCGTCGAGAACAGCCCACTTCTGACTGCGTCACACACACACTATTTTAACGAGAATATCTCTTCACCCTACTCCAAAAAGATAGTCTATCCTAAAGTACGTTGCATTACACGCTCAACACTGTGGGCAAAAAATGCGGCATACTACGAGCTGGTTGAATCAAGACGCCACTGGGTCTCACAATGCCGATGACGATGAAGACAGCTACGAAGAAGAGCAAGAAGGTCATGAAGGGGAGGAGGAGGACGATGAAGAGTATGAGGAAGATGATCAGGACGAGAATGGGGGCGGGAAAGGTGGTGATGGCATGAATTTTGAATGGACATCAGGTAATGCTCACGATCGGGCCACACACACTACCCACATTCCGGATCAAAAGGGGCAAATGAATCGAGGACAGTTTATGCCCTCCTCAACCACTTCCCAATCTCGATTCGACTATCCGGTCGCCAACTACGGTCCCGATGTCCCTCAACGCCACTCGCAGAGTTTGAAAAAACCGACCGCATCCTCGTCATCAACATCTTCTGCCAACAAGGCCTCCTCTTCTTCTTCTTCTTCTTCTTCTTCTTCTTCCACCACTTCCAACAACCACATTGCTACAAGATCCATGAAGATTTTAGCCCGCATCCTCCCAAACTCATCACAAGTCAAAGCGGATCCCGCGAAAACACCTCCGACCTCGTTCCGACAGCAAATGGACAACCTGGATTCAAGCATCCTTGGCAAACGACTCCGAATTAGCCGAGCGTGCGACTTGTGCCGAAAAAGACGAATCAAATGTACGGGTGAACAACCGTGTGCTGGATGCAGAAATCAGCCCGAAGGATGCGTTTATGTACGTTGTTCCATGTCCCATGAAATGATCTTATCTTAGCTAATTTTCTCTCCATAATCGTGCTAACCACCGCCCACGAATTGATCTCAATAGAGCGAAGCCACCCAACGAAAGCAGCCGCCACCGAAAAAGGTCAAACTTTTAACCATCGACAGAAGGTAACCTTGTTTTTGATACATATGTACTTTGAATCGGGCTTGATTTCTTTTGATAATGACCTTTTCTTCAATCAACTATTTTAGAGTCGAAATCCTCGAAGCCCTCATCAACCACCTCCATCCTGGACTCCTCAAAGACTTTACTGAACGACTCGAATTCGGCGACCTCAAGCCCCTTAAACGCATCAAACCCGAAGAACGATCTACAGCAACAATACCCCAACCAGAAGAAACAACGTCCTCGTTCCTGTCGCTTTTGGAATCCGATAGTTTGATTCCGATGGTACCTACGGCCGGGTCCACCGCGGCATCGATTGCCAGCATAAATTCCGAGGTTTCCAACTTTGCGCCGCAAAGTCAGCTTGGCCAGGCTTCGCCTGACACTTCTAAGTTACAACCTACCTCCACAACGAGAAACAACAGTGTTTCGCCGTCCGTGTCTACGTCTGTAGACGCGTCCAAATCTTTTCAGGGTGGGAAAGACATTTTGACGCCTGCAGTGACTCTGACTGTGACGAATCCGACACCTACTCTATCCTCATCCACATCCACTGATCAACCCGCGCAAACCAAAAACAATAACAGCAACAACAATAACAGGAACAACAACAACAATAACAACAACCAGAAATCCAAACCCAACTTGGAACCCAGTGTCGGAGATTCAGTTTTTGGAGGGCCTGTAATGCAGACAGCCGGTGAACTTGGTGGAGAGACTCAAGAGCCAGAGGCGGAGGGTGGATTGGTGATGGATGCCGGTGGTAGTTTTTATACGTTTTTTGGACCGACGAGTGTGTTAGGTGAGCCTTTTCTATCACAACTTCTTACAAACAAAAATTCACCAATTTGATACTAGGAGGTGCGCAAACAACAAACGTACTCCAAGGCAACCCGAAATTCACCGACAGCGTTCTTGTCGGTGCTGCAGCTTCCGAAGGCGGTCCTAACGCACACATGTTCGCAGTTCCACCGAAATCGCCCATTCAGCTGTCAAAAGCGATTCCGTGTCCCTTGGAGCTTGTACAGCATCTAGTGAAGCACTACTTTCAAAGATTCTACGTATGTATTCTTGACTTACCGGTGGTTTTGCCTTTTCTTGGCTTGCTAATTAGCTCTTCGACCTAGCCCGAATTTCCCATGGTCGACAAACGCTGGTTCATGGAACAACTTCAAACCCTCACCGCATCAAAAACGCTCGACGAAACCGCTCAGTGGGATTTCTACCTTCTTCTCCTCTCTATTATCTCCGTTATGCTCCAATTCACACCTTCTTTGAAAAAATGGGGGCCGCCTGTGATAAAAAAGTCGCCAGAGGATATCGCGAGGTTGTGTCTCCACAAAGCTCGGAAAGTTATGTACGAGAATATCGACAAGGCGGATATCGTGCTCGTGCAAACTCTGATCCATTTCGCATTGTCGGCTCACGGACGCAAGGGCAAAGCGAACCTTGTTTGGACGTTTTGTGGGATGGCCGTGAGGAAAGCTCAGGAGTTGGGTCTGCATCGTGATTTGCGCAAGTTGGGCGTTCGGCATGTGAAACTCACTGAGGAGATGTTGGAGACGCGTCGAAAGACTTGGTTGACTGTTTTGGTTGTGGATGCCTATGTGGGATTGATGTCGGGGAGACCTTTGGCTATACATCCGTCGGATTGGGATGCGGAGCCGCCAAAGGGGACGTTTGAGGATGTGAGGTACCTGCAGTGTCAGTCAGAGTTGGCAGAGATAGTGGCTACCATTTGTCGGTATGCGAATAGGGCGCAGAAGGGAGACAGGATGGGGTATATTGTTGAGGTTCATAAGAGGATGGAAAAGTGGGTGGAGCACTTCAATGCAGTGGATGTGAGAGCTGATGGCGGAGACGGATCTGTGGGAGCCGACATCAAGCTCAAACTGATTTTGGTGTAAGAATCGGTTTACTTTCCTAATCCTTTATTTTTGCTAATTGCTTTGAAAATATCTATATAGTTACCACAGCCTTCGCATCCTCTTCCGCCGAACGGCTTTCCAGACCCTCGACGACCCCATCTGCATCTCCTCCGCGGAGTCCATCACAAGTCTCATCACTCACCTACCTTACATCGCCCCAGACGACTTCAAATGCCACGTCATCTTCCCCACTATCAACCACGCCATCATGAGCAGTTGCACAGTTTGGGTATCCCAGCTCATCGTCAGCGGAAACTTGCAAGTGCTCCTCAACATTGAAAAGTGCTTGAAAGTGTTGGGAAACTTGAAGAGCTTGTCG